GCCATCAACAAGGGATTTAGTGTCCAGGCCCTGTGATCAAAGCCAGGACTGACTGCCCTCTCTCCCTAAAACTCCCCCCCATCATCGCTCTACTGAGCCTCTGAGAACATGGCCTTCAGGGGTTCCCCCATCCCCGACAGGGAATCCCCCCCCCCTACAAGAAAATGGGATACCCAGGCAGCTGGGTAACCCAAGAGGCTACAGAATGTGCTGATGGCAGAGAGGGAGAGATGTCTCAGGATGGGGTAGGGTCCCCCAAGTCATGTATTGAGGGTCACCTCACCCCACACTGTGCCTCTTTAGCCCAGGGTTTACAGAGGTGGTGTGTGGTTTGCAATGCACTCTGGTCCCGAGTATCTGTCAAGGGTACAGAGGTGTGCAGTTGTGTGCTCAACCCACTGGAAGAGACAAGCGGAAGGGCACAAGGAGAGGGGCCTGGGGGCACTGGATAAGGCAGAGGCTGCAGCCCCAAGGAATGGGCTCAGCAGGTCTAGGGGAAAGGACAGAACAGAGCCAGAGCCTGGGGGAGCAGAGGGGGCTGCAGGGTTAGAGGAGGGGGTCTGAGGTGCAGTGGGAAAAGGGGTAGCCCAGAGGTGGGGGGGAGCAGCCAGGGGGTGGGGACGGGGCCAGGGCTGGGTGCAAAGCCACAAGTTGTTGCTGAGCGGCTGGCCTTGGCGTCAGCTTCCTCAGAGAAGCAGCTGCTCTGAGCCCCCCACCCCCGGCCCCACCCCTGCTTGGGGATGAGGGCCTTTTGGTTCCTATCAGGGCAGCTGCTGGAGGAGCAGACAGGGTAGACAGGGTGTGGGTAGGGGAGGCAAGGAGGGCAGAGAGGCTCATGGAGAATCCTGGGAAAGGTCAGTGAGGGGAAGCACATTTGACCCTGTCCTCCAGCCCTAACTCCATCTCGGCCTGCTCCCTGAATGATGAGGCCACGGACCTCGGAAAGGGCCTGGAGGCTGCTTGCTATTCTCGTGCTCAAGTTCCTCAGTAGAGAGAGACACAGAAGACGGCAGGCAAAAGAAAGGGAAACCCCACTTGTGGGGAGTGGGTAGGTCAACAGGGATGGGGTGGCTGGCACTTAAGGAGTCAGCTCCCCTCATACTCACCCCTTCTACTCCCTGAGCTTGGGGAGGGGCAGCCTCCAGGGTGAGTTAAGGACACGGTGCTCCTCCCTCCCTCCCTTCCCCCCCTTTACAGGGTTCCCAACCCCTCCCCTGAAGCAGAATCCTGCTGTGACCCATTAGTGGGAGGGGGGGTCAGACAATGGGATGTGTCCAGGTCATACCAACAGGCAACTCCACCTGGTCTAGCACCCACCTTCTCTGGCCAGAGCCAGGCAGAGCATGTGCCAAGCTTTGGGGGCTGGCTGGCTTCTCCCCACCACCACCTGGAGGAGTGACAGGGGCACTGTCTTAAAGGAGCAGGAATGCCCATACATGGAGGAGAGACTGCAGAGATCACAGCTTCAAGGAAGTTGCGAGCAAGAGACCCAGGAAAAGGAGGCTTTACAGGCCACTGCTGCCAGCAGGGCCCTTTAAGGTTCTCCATCTCTACCACCCCCAACTTCCCAGAGGGGGACTGAAGCCAGAGAGGAAGGGCCCCAGCCAAGGCTGCCAAAGAATCGCCATCGGGGATGAAGGCTGCCTAATGAAAGCTGACTATCTCCCACCCAGGGTCTCTAAGCTCTAAGTTCAGAGCTGGAAGATTTTCTTCTCTCCTATGAGGGCTGTGTGGGAGCCACGTTCTGAAGGACATCAATGCAGAGCCAGGCCAGTCCCTGGCCAATTTCAAACTTCAGTTCAACCACCCATTGAGAAAGACTTAGAAGGAAAGTCTCTTAGGTGTCTCTAGCCAAGACATGCCAAATCTTTGGTGGGGTAGGGGGTATCCCTGTATACCTCTCCCAACCCATCTTCAGAAGGCAGGTCCCTGAAAGCTGGCAAGCTGGCAGGGTTTCAGGGAAGGGGGAAGCCTCACAGCACCAGGAACTGCCAGAGGAGGAGGATCAGTTCCTGCTAACTGGGGAGTGGGGGTGTGTGAGTCAGGAGGGAGACAGATATCACAGCCTTTACTGCCCTCACTTTAAGAACGCAGCACCCAGATCCCCAAACCATTCCTCCCTTTTCAAGGCCAACTCTATCCCCAGATTCCAGAGGCCCAGGTTTAGGGGAGCCCCAGGGATCATCTAAAACAGGGAGAGCCAGCAGACTCCCCCACTCTACCTCAGCCTGGGTGGCCTGTGAGCCCAGTTGCCTCCTGTCCATCTCCCAATAGGACACAAAGCCCAGAATAGCAAGGTCGTAAGCGTGGGTAGGGCCTCCTGGAAGTGGGGGCAGAGGCTGGGGGGCACCTGGGAAGGAAAGCAAAAGGCAGGATGGTAAGAGGCAGAGCTGGATGGAGGTGAGCGGGCCAAGCAGTTTAAGTAGGATTCTGCAGTACCCCATCCCTCCTAGTTGGTGCCCACCACCCCAGAGCTGGGAAGTCCAGGGGTGCCCTCTGTTGGAGAGCAAAATCACAGTTCAGTTCAGAGGGTGGAGCCTGGGTTTAATGGAGGGCCCTGAGGAGGCGAGGAGCGCTGCCACTCAAATGCCCACAGGGGCCAAGAAGTCATGTGACTTTTTAGGTGGGTGGAAAGAGGGCAAGGTGGAAGATGAACTCCGTGAGGCTGGATCTTCTGATTTCAAGAGAAGCCGGCAATCTGTGAACTCCAGTGGAAACATCACCCAGGCCAGGCCAATCACGTCAGCAGCTCTGACCCAGATGTGACTCCCGTTTCACAGATCTGTCCCCACACGGTATCCTGAGTCGGGGAATGCTACAACTTGCCCAGGTAACAGAGTAAATAACAGGCAAAGCCAGGTGCTCTTTGCCTTCATCCTCCCTCCTTCCCCGCTGGGCCTGAGGGGCTGTCAGCCTGCCCTGGGCCCTCTCCCCACACAGACGCCATGGCCCTGCCGCCCAATCCCGGCGGTCTCCCTGCCTGCTTTCTCCCTAGGGTAGGAAGCCTTAACCAGAGACTCCACAGCAGGAAAGGCCCCTGAAGACTGGCAACCCCGCTGTTCACCATCCTGTCCCATTAAGGGAAGTTGCCCAGAGACCCCAGAAGAGGGGTCCGGCTCTGCACTTACGGCTCGACCACCACCACAGCCCGTGAGGAGAGCGGGGGGAAGCACAAGGCTGGAGAGCAACAGGGACTCGACCTGACCCTGCTTCCCAGCCTCGTAGCTCTGGCGCTGACAACACTGAGTGGGCTGCTTTCCTGACCCGCCTGGCCCAGGCCCCACCGCAAACACTGGCCACAGCCATCACGATGGAACTGAGATAAATCCTTTTAGTTATGCGTCTCCATTTTGTTTAAAACAACCAACCACCACCTTAATATAACTGACAGCCCTTCCCCTGCACCCTTCCTTGGGCTGGGGAGGGGTGGTTAATGGGGAAATGGCCCCCAGGGGTGGGGCTGACCATAGAGCCCCTCAGGGAGGTAATGGAGGCCGAATCCCCTGCCGAGGGGACAGGGCACCTGTAGTGTATGAACTGGGGAGTTAACAGGGCTCGTCAACCTTTTCTTGTACCATCATACATGCCCTTGGCCTTCAAGGGTCAGGAAGCATGTGGGAGGGGATTCCTACTGCTCCTCTTTGTCCTTACCCAGTCCCAATCTCACCAACCGAGGGCTGGAGAGCAAGAAGAGTGGAGAAAGAGTGGGATGGGGTGCCTCACACGAAGGAGTACTGGTTACTAATGGCTCTGGGATGGCCCCCTTCTTCTCCATCGCCCCCTAGTGGCAACTGCTGGAGCTGCACCATCAGGGTCACCCCAGGATCCCCACCAGATCCAGAGACTCCCTGGCCCTCCGTGCCAGGTGCTATGGCCTCTTCCAATTCAACCACGGGGACCAGCTCAACCACGGGGACCAGCTCTTCCTGGACCCCTCCACTGCCCGCTTTCTCTTTCTCTTGCCTCTCTTTGGCTGCTGCGGCGGTTGCTGCCGCCACTTCTGGCGCCCCCGACGCCTCTTCTGCCCCAGGTTGTGGGGGATCTGTCCATGAAGGGGGTTCAGGGGGCTGGGGTAGGTCATGGGAGGTGTTCGGTTCTAGACAGGAATGGTAAGAAGACAGACTGATTGTGGATGGAGGCAAGCTCCTGCAGCGGCCTTCCCTTCGCTCATCCCCCCAGGAGCCATGTGCTATCTCCCCCACGTCCCATCTCCCGACAACCCCCCATCCATGGAAGATGGATCATGGGCAGCAGGGAGAGGAGGACCACACTTACACACAGTCACTCGCTCCGAAGGGCATGAGGGTGGAGGAGGCATCGGGGTAGCATCGATCTCCCTCGCACACCCTGCATGGCTCCCGGCCTGCTCCCGGCCTGGGGGGGAGGGGCAATGTGGGGACAGATGGGACGTTGGGTGGGGAAAAGGGAGAGATCAGACAGGGACATCAGACATGGGGGGGAGGAAGGGGATCAGCCCGAGTGTCCCCAAGAAGGGCAGGCCAAAGGCAAGGTGTGAAGAAGGGCAAAGACAAGGCGGGAGGATGGGCCTAGGAGACAGACAAATGATGGCACAGAGGAGCTGGATGGAATGGGGATGACCCGCCCGACTTAGCTTCCTCCCTGGCTCCCACAGGAGCCCTCTGCCTGCCTACATCCTCTCAGTGTGCTTCTTCCCTCCAAAACCCCAACACTCTGGGGCCTTCTCCACCCTGCTCCCCTAACAGCACTTTCCTCCTCACAGCCCCCCACCCCATCTTTCTGGCACACACACCTCCTCACTTCTTGGGTGCACGGGCACCTCCTCCCCTGCAGACCTGCTCTGCTCACCCTGCTGTCGCTGGGAGGATACGACATAGCTGACAAGGGACGTCACTGGGGCCTCCAGACTCCAGAGGGATGGGGTGCACCCGGAAATGCTCGAGCATATCGAAAATGGACTGGAACCACAGGTGCCTGGACCCGGCACTGACCCTCCTCATTCAGCGACAAATGCAGGTGCTGAGGGTAGGAGGAGCCAGGTGAAGCGGGAGTCTAAGCCCCTGCCAGTTACAGAGCGCTCTCCCCGACAGCAGTGTGCCCGCGCCGCCTGCAAGCTCGCTGCATGGAACACAGCCTTGTTCTAGTCACTCACCTTAGCCTTGCCCTGGAAGTTGAAAGTGAGGACATACGTGCCCCTCCTTGTCTCACTCTGTCGTACCAGGAAGACACCGTGGGAGCCGGCACCTCCCGCCAGCACTAGCTGGGCAGCCTTGAGTCGAGAGAGCATCCCGTGGAACCAAGGATACCCTGAGAGGGGCTGGTCCCCCTCACCCTCTCCGACTCCCCCTGGAACAGGAATGACCCTTCAGGAAGGAGAGAGGAGGGAAACTGGGATCAGGGATGCCTCCCCCATCCTGGGGGAAGAAAAGTCTTGCTTTCCCCTCGTGTGTCACTCCCACCCTACTACCCCCGCCCCCCAGGCAAGTGCCTCAGGAGGCCAAGATAGCTTCAGGGAGTCAGGCAGCTGGGCCTGGAGGCAGACACACACTCACAACTCTGGTACCTGTGGCTGTCTCCGGAGTGTCCAGGGGTGGGTAAGGGGCTGAGAGGGGATGAACCGCCCCTGCTGGGGGTCCCTCTTCAATGGGCATTCGGGGGGGCAACTCTGGGGGAGTAGTTCCATTGAGTCAAAATGGGAGGCAGCAATAGAGGCAGAACTGGGGGAGATGGATGCCGAGGGGCGGTCTGAGAGGCCACCATATGCTCCTGGGGGGGGAAAAAAAAAAAACCGGGAGTGAGCAGAGTTGAGAACTCCAGAAGCTCCCTTTGGCAGGACTGTTCTGCCTGGGTACACGTCACACCAGCAGCCGACCAGCAGCGCCCCCCCAGGCTGGTGCCTGGGTCCTTCTTTAGGTTTTATTGACCCCTGATGGGTTTATTGATGACTAACTTAGATTTCCTGCAGTGCTGAGGGAACTGCAGTCACTGCAGAGGAGTCCTCGCCTCAAACGCGCCTATGCCTTCTCTGCATCACTAGCTGAACTTACAGCTATTGTTGCAGAAGTGGGGGTAGAATCCCACATGCATTTTCACTTTACAAATAGGTCCTTTTCCTGCCTACAGCACAATGCCCTCAACTCTTGGGGCTAGAAATCCTAGGAATCCCAACTCAACTGACTTGACCTTCAGTCAACCTGTATTCATGTATCCCCTGCTTGAGCCCAGTCATCCCATATGATTTTTCCAAATCTGGGCTCTCCCCATCTCACGTCTCTGTTCTTGACGGCTGCTCGTGCAAGCCACACTCTTTTCTCTCATCTCCCTGTGTAGCCTGACTCCACCAGGGTCCTACCCCTCTGAGCCCCCAAGGCCTCTATGCCCGAGTTCCTCTTTCCACTTGGATGTCTTGTGAGCCCATGGAGGGCACAGAGCTCATCTCAGGCATCTCTGTGTTCCCCACCCTGCCCAACGCAGGGCAAGGCATGTGCGAGGGTATTCCTGAGTGTCTGCTGACTGGCAGTCCAGGCCTACAGGTATGGTCAGTGCTCAGAGCTAAGTAGAGAAAGCACAGAGAACAGCCGCTCGGCTATCAGGCTGGCGTAGCCCGTCTTTGTCAGTGACTCTCAGGTGACCCAAAAAAAGCCACGTCCACCCCTTTACCACCACAAGGTCTTAGCAGCCTGAGAAACAAGGAGATTGGAACTTATAATGTTCATTTTAGCGCTCAGATTCTCTAATTCATTTGTTCATTCACTGAATACAGCCTGCATGCTATGAAGCTGAATTACTGTGAAGCTGAACCAGAGGATCAGGAAGAAAAGGTATAGTCGAGTCTTGTAATGTGAGCTGCGAGTTTATGTGGTGAGCAGGACATGCATGTGTTTAGTCAGCTGAGAAATACTGGCACAAATGCAGGCAGACACAGTTTAAGAGCAAAACAAAGACATCTATAAAATGTTCTGGAAGCTTGGAGAAATGTCTAGCCAGAGTGGTGGCCCGTACAAGACTTATGGGAAAGTGGGTCAGGCTGGGCACAGACGGGTGGACAGGAGTTTGCTTAGGACTCAGATGATGGTGGTGGTGATCTGATGGTTCTAACTGGCTTCCTATGTTCAGGAACAAAAGATAAAACATTGGGGGATGGAAGTGGGAGTAGGCAGCTGAGAAGCAGGACTGGGGTGCCCTGGAAGTCTGGACAGAGGGCCTGGGCCTAACAGAGGGGCTTGTACAAAGGCGCCACCCTACCCTGTGACAGACGGTCGTTGCTCTCGCTGGGGCCCAGCAGCAGATCCTGGCTGGGCAGACTCTCTGAGTGATTGAGGCAAGGCGGCTCCAGGTTGTCTGTGTTCTCCCTCGTAAGAAATGAGGTCCCAGGGGCCAGAGGGAGGGTCATGGGACGAGGACTGGTAGCAGGGCAAGGTCTGCACAAACAGAAAAATGGTGCTGGGAGGCAAGTCACCAGGTGAGAGGCACAAAGCTGCTCCCCACACCCGCCCCCAGCATCTCTCACAGCCAGAAGTCAAGTTCCTCACCCTGGGCTCAGGCATTCTTGGATGTCAGACACCCAGGCCTTTACATGTAGAGCGTCAGCCGTCTCCAGGATATATTCTGAAGGGCCTTCCACCTACAGGAACAAGAGGAGGTTCAAAGGCCACTTCTGGGTCCTGAGACCTTCATCTTCCCCCAACAACCAGAGCATCCTCCTGCTCTTCCTTCCTCCCAGAAAAGCCGTGGCCCTCAGGGACACACTCTCAGGGTACCTGACACCTACACTTTCTTCCACCAATGCCCCCTGTTTGTTTGCTAACAGCTTTCTCCCCAACACAAGTGCCCCAAGAGGGCAGGGGGACAGGGCTCCTACCTTAACCACAAATGTGTTCTCTCGGTCAGGCATCTCCAGGGCCGTGGCTGTCCGCACATCAGTGATAGTAGAGCAGGGGATGCTAAGTCGCTGCCGGGACGCCTAGGTTGGGAGGGAGCGAAGGGCAGGTATTTGGTGCACAGAAACCATCCTTCCTTCTACACCCTAGTTAGACTAAAGCAAATGACTATTTTTTTAGTCCTTGCCCACAGCTACTACCCAAAGCCAGGAGTAAGCTTTAAAAACAGTACACAGA